TCACATTAGTGCACACGGTAGTCGACGCCCTTCGTGATTCCGGAGACTCATCAACCGAGTACCGTGAGCTGATCTCACAACTCTACACGCTAGAAACGGCACTGATAAGTGTAAAGCGTGTTGAGCTCGACGATGCGCAACATGCTGAGCACGTCGCTCTGATGCAGGCGGCTGCGCAATGTCAGAGGACGATCGATGCGTTCTGGGAGAAGATCAAGAAGTATCAGCCGAGCTTGCGGGCTGCTGGCTCCGGGAGTAGAGTTAAGGATGGCTGGAGGAAGGTTAGGTGGGCGTTGTGTCGGAAGGAGGATTTGAGTAGATTTAAGGCGGATTTGATGGGGCATACGGAGAGTATTGAGATGCTTTTAACAACTGTTCAGATGTGAGTCCCCTTTGCCCCGGATAGATGCATGCGTGCGTGCGTTATGAATTTGGGTGGAATTAGAAATTGAAATTTAAACTGGACTTGATTGTTGACTTGGTGGATCTCTAGGGGAGCGACGAGAATTGATTCGAAGAGAAGTGACGAGCAGCATCGTACCATGGCAGGGAAGATGCAAGAGTCGTACTTTGGGTGTATGCAGCGGATCAATCTAGTGCTTGAACGGATCTCGACGTAAGATAATGCACCCTACTAACCAAAAACGACTAATTCTGGTAGTGGTATTCAACAAGGAAAACAGCTTCTGGAAATGACGGCAAAGGTTTTGTGAGTAGGGCCCTGACCTAAGAATGAAGCGAGGTCTGAAGTTCTAATTCCGAGCAGCCAAACAAACGTTCAGATCTTCCAGATTGTCATCAAGATCCAAGATATCATCACTCGAATACCAGGACAAGTTGAGCGACAACAACCTGTGTTTTTCGTGGATGCTTTGGGGAGACACATGGCATTTCACCTAGAGTTTGTTCTTTCCGCGGAGGCAAGTACAACAAATTTCCTATCAAGGGACCAAATTTTTGACTCAATTAATTATAGGCCTTGACATCAGTTCTCCGCTCTAACTTCAGAAATATTGGTCACGGTGCAAAGAAAATTGAAAAAGGAGAATTCGTCATCCAGGACTCATCAACTAAAATCGATGTCGACCTTACGAAACCATGGGAGACTTGTTTTAGAGCTGGACAGCATGCTGATATGAGTATGGTTTTCAAGTCAAAGGAAGCATGGAACATGTCCTGTCCGAATTGTCGGGATGAGAACAGTGACAATTTCGCGAAGGACGAAGACATTGAGTGGTAGGTCCTCGTCCATTCAATGCCACTATCTCCTACTAAGCAAACTAACCATATAGTCGGAAATGTAAAATGGTATACAGACGCTCCATGACAGTGATCAGGACGGATGGCCTGCGCATTGTACCCGAAGCAGAACACTCCAGCGATGCCGCATTACCTTTTGGCCCAAAGCTAGAATTGGCTCGGGAGGCCAGAGCGAAGAAGCGAAATGCACCACACGATGAAGAAAACGAGATGGCGTTATTCAGACGCGTACGCATCAAGACTGAAGTCAAAATCCGAAATCCAAGTACTCCACCCAGTAGGTCGAGGAATAGTTCGCCTCCCGGAGCGCCTTTGCACCCTGCTATGAACAGACGGAACAATCGTGGTGCAAGCGGTGGTGCCACTGCTGGCTTTCGAGACGATATATTATCTCCTCCCCCAGAACAACCGCCGCAAATTCCGCAAATTCCAGATGATCCCTATGCCGACCCCGAGCTCCTGCGCATGCTTCAGGAAGAGCGTGAGCACGAATTTCCACTAGCTGAACCCATATATGATAGCATCTTGGACGTAGATATGGACAGAAACAACGACAACGATGTCGATGCCGATGGTGAAGAAGTATTAAATGAGATGGAATATGAAGCACTGGTTGAAGCGTATGAAGATGAATGGGAAGCACGTAGCGAGATTATGAGGGAGGCTGCCGTGGATCGTGAGATCAATGACAGGATGTTGCGGGATGAGCTGCCGGAGAGCGATTTTAGTGACGATCAGAGTGAATTTTCGATCGAGGACGAGAGTGAAGAAGATTGAGTTCTCGGGGGATTTTATGACATGTAGCGAGAATTAGACGGATGGTGGCCGGGATGTCAGTGAAACTAGAGAATATTTCCCGAGACATGCTGCTCCTGTCAGCAGCTTGAAATCGGCGACGACAATGGATCTGGCAGGCGGGCAACTCTTTTCTCACCAGAGAACAGCGGGATTTTTACACCGACGACATGCAGCAAGAATCACAATTCAGGTTCTCTCCCACCTTTGAAAGGCACCATATCGAGGGATGGCCAAGAGAAATCATCTCACCAAGGCGAATCCAATTTCCAAGACGTCCAAGCCGGTACTTCTTCCACCCACAGTATCGATATAGCCTATTTCTCCCCAGCTTGGCAACTCTTAGACAGTTGGTAAAGGTTGCGTACTTAGGAGTCTTCTAGTCATGTGAACGATCAGCCAAGCTGGGACAAGCAGTTGCAAATCGTCGGCACTCAAAAAGTGTGCATGGTAGTGCAAATGTACCCACACACATACACACAATATATGGACAACAAGAATCGGATTGAACAATATGTATTCGTCATTCAGAGCCCGATAGAAGGACTAAACAAGGCCATTGTATATACAAAACCAGCACCTGCGTTACTCAAATAGATAGAAGAATTTCCCCCGCTATCAGCATCATCATCACTCCACATCGATATCTAAGACGATACGGTGATCGTGGAAGATCCACTGCTGAAGTAGCCCTCGGTGGCCACGATCTGGTAATCAAATGCTCCGAGCTTCATGTTCAATGCATTCCAAGCCTTGAAATGGGTAGCGACGGTGACAGTTCCGCTGGAGCGCTTTGTTCGGCGAACGGACCAGTATTGCTGGAAGGTTGCGGTGCCGATGATGGAAGGTTGGTTGGTGCGTGTGCTCTGTAGTGTGGTGTCAGTTTAGTCTCTTATATTATTTCTCGGAGGTGGGAAGAATCCGCCGGAGGAGCAACTTCAGAGGCCTCCTTACCTGGTAGATATCGTATGTATCTCCGTCCGCAACGACCGTACCCTTCTTCGTAGCTCCACTGCTGGGGTTGTAGGTACCGAAGTTCTCAACAATGTAGTACTCGATCAACGGATTCTTCGTCCATCCATAAACAGCGAGGTAGCTGTTACCGTTTGGCTTGTAGGTGCCAGTGTACTTGATCACTCTTCCACACAATCAGTTTATTTTCTTTCATCTCAGTTTCAAGAAAAGTATTAGTTTACTTACCGGTTCGCAGTTCCTGGCATCCATCCCTTACCACCAACAAGATTTCCGTTTCCGGACCAGGTGATGCTGTATTGGCCTGCGGCTCCATTGGTATAGGTAGCTGTAGCTCCATTGTCCGTCCACCACGAAAAGTAGAACCCGTTATGCGTCCCAGTGGCGCTTGGAGTTCCGGCACGCTCAGAGAGAGCTCCTGGAGCACGCTTCGCTACATCAACATTGGGTGCAGCGAAGACACCAGTGATAGCTGAGACAGCAACAAGGAGGGATGTGAATGCAACCATATTTATTGACTTGAACTGTTGAACAAAAAGTTGGCTGGATAAACTCTTTTTCAACAGAGAGGATATGCCTGCCCCTTTATACTTTCGCAAGTAGCTTTTCAAGTAACTCCACAAATAGATACCCACCTACCTACTCCGTAGTTAGAAACAACATTATTGGCCTAGAAATAGGGATGGAGTTCGCGTACGGGAGAAACATCCTGTAAACGAAACTGCCGCGGCGAGACACAAGGCCAGCCGCATCAAAGAGAGTTCCTCACTACCGGGCTCCCTGCTTGGCCCCAATGGGCTTCTCGGTGGCGCTGTTACATTCCCCCGCAATTCATATGTCTGGATGAAACCTTAGTAATTTTATCTTAAGGGTAATATGGGTTTTGGGGCTCGCTTAGGTCGGGGTTGCTTTTAGCGATCTCCCCATTCTCAAACTCGATGTAACTGTACGACTGGGAAATGATTTCTCCTTGGCTGCTTTTGGATGCAGCTTGTGACTTAGTACGCGCAAGCACAGTTCTGTATGGCTATTACCCCACATCACAATGCATCATTTTTCTTGAAGATTTCTCAAGATTGATGATCATGGGCTTATGTGAAACTAGATCTAGTCCCTAGGGCCGCCGGGTAAAATCTGCCAGGTGCCGATCCGATCTTATTGCCGGAACCTAAATGTTCCCTCTATCAACACAGTCCGACCCAAAAGAGAACAAGCTCTACGTTCTAGAAAGACATCATCTCTTCTTTCGATGATGATTTTCAAAAGACCCCTCATTTGAGCTTTCCATGGCATTGGCTCTTGTGAGCTCCCGGTTAAATAGCCACGAGATTCCTTCAAAGCAAAGCGGAAGGCTATATTATCAGAGAAGTAAGGTTAAATCATACGGCCAAGCCGCATGAATCGGGGTGCATTAGTGGAGGTTCTGCTATCTGATGGAGTCTTTCTCGACTCATGTTGAAGCTCAGACCTTGAATTTGCGATTGTGCATAGAACGGACGAAGGCCTATTTCGAGATGTTCGGATGAACGGACACCATCCATTCATCACCTGCTCAGTCTAAAAGTACCGTACGTACAAATGTCAACAACCTTCTGTATTTACCCTTATTGGACTTTTCTAGTTTCGCACTTCTTCGCTTCTTCCATTCGCTCCTCCTCTTTCTCTCTCCTTTATCCACAACCTCAAGTACTTATTTCCAGGGTTCAACTCAAGGCCCAAGCACGTCACGATCGAGATCTTGATCAACCCCTCCACTTCATCCGTTCCCCACCCACCCAGCGAGCCCACCAAGCAATCTCCTCGGCGCCCCATCCGATCTGATTCAATCCCTGCATGCCACTGCATTACTGTACCTATTCCACTCTCCCACTCGCTTACCAGCCCTCCCAACCCTCAAATATCCACTTCACTCACACATTAAGATACGAAAATAAGGACTTCATCTCCATCGAATAAGATGAAAAACAATACAATCCGGAATGGTGTAGTGGCTAGCATTTCTGCCTCTCATTAGCTGTTCAGTTGAATTGAACAGTTGAAGTGTTCGCAGGAGACCGGGGTTCAATTCCCCGTTCCGGAAACATATATTTTTTATTTGATTTTTTTCTGCCACGGACTGACTCTCTTTTGTCCCCTTTGGCCCTTTGGGTCAAATCTTTACCAAGGATTAAGAAGAAGGGCTGGCTCATTATTGATATTTCCCTTTTTGTTGCCTCTTGTCTCTAGAATTTTCACTCCTTCTTTCTTCCTCCTGGTGCTTCCGCTTGCAAACGGATCTGGCGAAGTCTCGGCATGCCGCCTATATGACTCAATTACATCCACTTCAACTCCACAGACATTAGAAACCTTCTACTTTCCACTTTCTACTTCCCACTTTGTTCTTTCTACTCCTCGTCCATAACTTATGATTATATCAAGCATTCACATCTGTGATACTCCCCGTCAAACCAGCCAGGTTCAGATCCCCATCCACATCAGCATTTCCATCAGCAATTAAATCCCTCCAGAACACATCCCCAACAGCATCTTTCCTCATCTCAAAAACCCTCTGCGCCGCAACTGACACTTGACTAAACGCCGTCTGCGCAGACGGCCATACCGCCCTCATCGCTCTCAGCGCACCTGCGTTCATCCTGATTTCCTCTTTGAGGTTCTCGTCGGCTGCCATAAGAGGGAGGTGCGACCAGAGAGACAGGTGAGAGATGGAGGAGTAGGTCAGTGCGCAGATGAAGAAATGGGTGTGGTGGATTAGAGGTGTGGGCATGCCGACGAGTTTGCTGAGGTTTGATGCTGCTTGTGTGGCTTTGCTGGAGTGTATGTCGTCTAGGCCTGAGCAGTGCGCTTCGACTGTTCCTAGGGCTGTGCAGGAAATGATGGTTTGTGATGCGGCTGCATCGAGGGGGGTGAACCGGCGATGCAGTAGGAGAGAACTTCTATCTTGAGTGTCAGTTCTGACATTCCAATTTCGATTCGACTTCAGACTGGCGACTTACAAGTCGGTAATCATATGAGCTTGGAACATCATCTCATCGAACGTCCCAGACTGGTCAAAGTTTGCGACTTTTGATGGCGGAAGGTGAAGATTCCAATTCACTAGGAGAGCGTCTAGACTATACGTCCGCGGGTCTTCTGGGAACACAATATTATCCGACCCTAGTATCCTTTCAAGATTCCTAGCAGCTGCTATCCGGTATGCGTATGAGGACCATTCTATCTCTTCGCCGAGGAAGGACTCGTCGTCGAACTCTTCCATTGTATGAAATTGTGGTATTACCTGAGATTATCAGCTGATGTGTGGTACAAGGGAATATTGGTACGCACTCCGCTGACAAAGTCCTTCTCTTCACATGGTAGAGGTGTTGTAGAGATGACACCTGATAATTGGTAGACTCGCCTCCCATGAAACGCCGTCACCATCACGCTCACGACATACAATTCCCACCACGTCCGACGGATGCTCTCCTCACAAACAAGCGACCCGCCTCCATTGATGATAGCATACTCGCGTTGATTCATGCCGAGTTCCAGAGCGAATCTTTGTGCCCTGATGAGAACTTCAACAGCTTTCTTCCGCTCGTTGTTGCCGTCGAGTCCTAGCGCGAAGAGGAGCATGGTCTGAACGGTGGAGTAGTCTTTTGGGAGATCTTGTTGTAATACAAAGCAATCCAGATCCAGTGAGTAGGAAGCTGGAGAAGCACCTCTCACGTACCGAGATCCGATGTAGGCCAATGCCGTCTCGAGATGGTCCCTCGGCGGCCCAATCTTAAACGCTTCGAGGAGCTGTTGCCGTGGCGGCAAAAATGGATGAGCATCGTAGAAATACTGGAAGAATGACTCCATGCATTTCCGCCGGATGCTCATGGTGGGATTCTGAGCTCTTGGTTGGATCGTAGCCCAATTCTGATTGCCAAGTGCGAAGTCGAATGTTGAATTTGGGTCAGCTTGTCCTGATCTTGCAACTAGATTTGCACTTGGCATGGTAATACTGGCAACATCTTGACTGTTTCCTTCTCCGCTGTCCAGATCTTCTTTATAGTCAGTCCCCTCCATTTCCCTCGGTAGTCGACTTACTATTGCTCTCCATTGCGGATAATTGTTCACGGGTCGCTGCGCGTCCTTTGTATCCACGTCTAGACTTCAGATATATGCATTGTAGTGCCTGGGTTGCACATCTCGAGCATGGCTGTAGACCGTCACACTTCAAGTGTTTGCTCCGACAAGGTATACAAGCAGAAGAAACGGTGCTTCGCTCGGGACGATGGCCACCTTCCGGGCCTGGGGATCCGGGAGGGGAAGCTGTGGAGTGAGGGCTACGACCTTCTGTCTCCATCGGTAGAAGAATAGAAGGAAACCGGGTGCAACGAGTCAAATGCAAGTGTATTGCGCCTTGAGCCCCAAATCAGTCGGTGAGTCTCGAACGTGAAGTGATTAGGCGGTCCCCGGTGGCATCTTCGTGTAGCCAAAAGGTTCGCAGGAAGGAAGGGGAAGTGTTAAATGGAAAGCCACAAAGCAATCTGGAATATGCCATTTCATTTCATTTTCCATCCGTGAGTGAGTGAGTAATCCCCGGCGACATGCCAATACTAAAGAAAGAACGTCTCAAAGCTAGAACGTGATGATAAGGTTGAAGTTTGGCGCTAGGGCTCGAAGGGGACGACTTCAAGCGTGGGAGGTCGCCGAACAAGACGCAGCCACCCCACTAACACCCCACCTCACCTCACCTGAATAAACAATTAACTGACTACCTCAGACTACCTTACCTTACCTCACCTTACCACTTTATTTCTCCCATCCCGTCCCATATCCGACCGTCTGTCCCAGCAGCCAGGAACACGTCAACGTGTTCTAGTTGTTTAGAATAAGAAATTATCACGGTACATACCGACTATATTTACTTCCCCTTTGTCACACTCGGGCGGCAAGAGGATGGAAGAAAGATGCTACTCCAGCTCCAGGGAGGAGAAGAGAAGGACCCATGGCTCGGGACTCGGGCTGCACAACGACCGTGTAACTTTCGCACATAGTTGTACCCGCCCGGCCCGCGCCTCCACGTCTATCAACTCGAAGCAGTGCATTATCTTGGTGGCTTGCGACGAGCAAAATATCCCGAGAGAGCGAGCTGGTCGCTGCATTGTTGTGAGGCGCGCGGATCCTGTTGATGATGTGTCCGGCGACTTCGCTTAAGGACTAGTGAAACTCCAGGTCGCCGACCCCACTGACTACATCTGACTCGGAAAGCATCTCACTCAGAGGATCTTGACTTGAATTCTTTGTTTCATTTTGTTTTGATAATTGGGAGATGACTTCAGGTTATTTTGTTTTTTGTTTTCTTTTTGTTTTTCTTTTTTTGTTTATTCCAGTTTTGAAAAAGGTTTCATAGGGAAATGGCAAAAAATATATTTCGAAGCTGATCAAGGCCCAACCACCAGCCCTAGAATGAGGACTTTACTCACTTGTAATTTTTTGATTTCGGTTTGCTGAAGCAGCTGTCTAGGACGTGAGTTTTTTTGGTTTCGTTTCTGTTGGTTAGTTAGGCCTTGATCACTCGAATGGTTGGCAGAATGTCCTTGTTTGGTTCTATAAGGTTGATAGTTTTTTGTGGGGTAGGCCGCATTTTCCCCGGAGTAGGAACAAGGCAGAAGTTGATCTTGTATAGTTAACTATTCACTGTTTGTTGAGATTTGGTGGGATGGGAACTTTCTTGGATTTCAGCTTCAGGTGAGGTAGATGTCAAGTTATCTACTTCGGTTCACAACTTAGATATGGATAGGCTTGGCACACAGCTTTATCAGATATCAACTCCAAATAAAGGGAATGCTGCTTTGCCTAGCCTAGGTTGCATTTTAGGCATTAGTTGCTTTGCTATTATAAAGAAGATTTTTGCCCAACATAGTTCCTTTACTAATTGATAGGATGCCAACAGAAAATGACAAAAGAAACCCCCCCCCCCCAGTCATCCGTCTGTGTTCAAGCACCCAAAAATGACGCATAAAGTACCCCAAACAAAAGCCATAGCTCCAAATAGCTATCATTATGTGTCTCTTAGATGTGCGGTCGTTCAACTTGAATGAAAGCCAGACTCTTCAACGGACCTATCCTTCTGGTAAACTGATGATTCAGAAGCCCATCAAACATCCATTACTTGTCATTAACATCAACTTCCATACAGTTTCCAACTTGCATATAGTCTTCAAATCCCCTCCCTTGGTCTCAAAACTTCTCGTAGTACAGAACAACAATTTTCCCCAATACCCTCCAACATACAACAAGGTTTTGACGAGCCCGCCAAAGCTACTGACAACCATTTCCCCACAACATCAGATGCATCCTCCACCATTCCAAACAGCTCTCCTTCACGTAGACCCCAACAACCCCAAAGTCTCCTCAATGCTCTCTTCTTCGACCCAAAATTAAAAGGAAAATAATTCATAGAATCGATTCAATCCCTGGTTCTCACCCACCCAGCTCTATACACCCTTCCATTTTTCAAGTATTTGAAAATGAAAACACCTAATCTCTGCTCAAGCACCTCAAACTTTCCGAGAAGAGACTAGGAGACTTTGGTAGGTAGCGGGTGGTGAAGCTGAAGAAATGAGATGTTCTTACTCTTCCGCTTCTTTTTGATGGAGTCCTGAATATAATCTCCCGGTAAAGTAGCGACCGTACGTAAGAGAAAGAGGACGCCTTACACAGCGGATGCACACCGATGGCTCATGAGATTGCAAATAATTTTTTAAATTTTATTTAGATGTGAGATATCAGCATCCCGAATTCAACATCCCCCCTCCCCCAACCAGCCAATGCTACCAAGCACACTTATCCAGGAACCCACCCGGCCATCTCCTCACACCCCACTTCCTCGCCTCATCCAAGAACAAGATCCCAACCCCAAAAGCAGCCGGCAAGAAGAAATGCTCGACCGGAACCTCCGTCGTCCCAAGCACAGACTGGAATTTAGGGACATACAACCAGAAGATGGCCATCACCAGTGCAAAAGCCATGGCAGGGAAGAGATACCAATTCTGCGTCATGCGATTAAAAAGCGGTGGATGTTGGAAAATACTCAGACGACGTGTACGG